TCTCGAGCCCTTTAATGGTGAGAAGTAAAAGTATCAAAGATCTCTACACTTGAAAACAGTTTGCACTGATCTACAATGGAGATAAAAGCCTAAAATATACTTAAGCTATATCCATCACAGTTTGTCCGCCAGAGTGCACTGTTAAGTTAAGTAATTTCATCAATGACAGTGCGTACATGTCGGATGTTTAGCGGGTTATGTTAGTAACATTTGCAAATTAGCACTAGACGAAGTTGAAGTTGATGTGAATGTAATAAGTTTTGCGGGTATTTCATCATTGTATTTGGCAACTGAAAAAATGTGATGATGCTGCTAGATTCGTGGGGTTGTTCCTAAGAGGGAAACATTGTTCCAGTCCAAGTCAGTGGGCTTCATCCTCTGGGGAACTTGAATGTCTGTACCAAAGGCCATTGCATAGTTGTCAAGATATTTCACTAAAACACAAAAATGTCAACCTGCTTGTGGCGCTAGAGCAAATGCCAGAGGATCAGAGATCCAAAAGAGACATTTCAGTCTGAAACAAAGTGGTGAACCAACTGAGAGATAGGCATTGCTATCCATAAAGCCATGATGCTAGTGTGGCTACTATTGACAATCAGCTGGTTTATTGATATTGGATGTTTAGAACTCAAATTTCTGTCTCCGTTACACAGGATGATACTCTTGAATATCAGTACGAAATATTAGCTTTCAGCAGCTTCTTTTGTGTTTACTTTCAAGTTTCTAACTTTAGACTTGCTCCCTTCTTCCTTTGCCCCTCCCTTATAAATGAAGAAAACTTGACCAATAGGAGAGCTAATGACTGTCTCAAGGCTGTCTCTCTCTGTCGATCCCTGTGTTTCTCTTCCTTTCTAATTAAACTTCCTGATGCTCTCACCCCCTGCTATCCTCTCGATACTTTAGCACTTTCCTGCTGCGTAGCGTTCAGCAGCGGTTACTTTTCCCCCACTTAAATAGTCTAAATCTGTTAGTGGATCCGTGCAGGAAGCCAGGCAGTCATTTGAGCTGCATTGTGTAATTACAGCTGGGACTATTTTAATGACTGTTTATCCACACGGCTGCAGTCATTGCAGCGAAATTGGGGTCAATTACATGATCCTCCAAATATGCGAGCGCTTCCATCTACCGTGTGGCTCCCAACTCCAAGACCCCTTTAACTCATTTACACTTAAATGGCACACACACACATATATGAAATCATATTTTGACAGGTACATATGTGCAATGAGTACAACTAATGCACTCATTCATATATGAATTCGAGCTCATCCACACAAACACTGAGAGCTCTACAGCAGGCTGCAGCTTATTATTCGTGTGTGGTGTTTGTTTTAATTGCTCTTGTCCCAGCATTAACTCTACATTTGTTTTGATGTTGCTGTGCAGTCACACATTAAATGGCTCTGTAGGTGTAGGTGTGTGTGTGTGTGTGTGTGTGTGTGTGGAGAGAATTTGAAGTAATTATGGTATGTCTGACATTGAGATTCTGATGACTTGTTGTTAAAATGTGACCTTTTAAACAATATTTCTGCAGAACTATGGCCCAAATAGCATTACTGAAGTGTGTATTGAGTTTTATTAAAAAGTTTATTTGTTTACCTTACCAATGTACCTATTCAGTTAAAGGAACATCTTGTTATTATAGGCAAGGGTATGTACGTCTACTTTGCTGGCGTGTGTTGTCTGACCCAGAGTCTGTCTGCATGGATGACATCAGCTGCCACATCCAGATAATTAGTATTCAACTTACAGTGGCTGTATGGTGCAGTGGTACAACTAGACCAGATAGTTGCAGCCTGAGTGGGGCGAGAGGGGAGGTTTTTAAAAAATGATGATGTCAGGAGCCAAGCAAGTATAGTCACCAGTAGAGCCTTAGCAACACTGACCGATAGAACAGGATGTTTGTTTAACAACACAGCAAAAATTACCTCAAAAATAACCATCGATTCGAATGAAAGCAAATTGAGGTAGCAACCTGACAGCCTCACAAAAACAGAACAGCGTGAGCTTCACCATACTGTTTTACTTTTTTAAAATATGTTAGAACTTTCTGTCTCTAAATTTGACGATTTTCTTTCTCCAAGTTTCTAAACAAACAGGTATCAGGTTAAATGTTTCCTAAAGAACTGTATTACTGTCAGGGTCTGGAAGGGGGATTTAGACGATCATGTGACACTTTAACTCCAGTGAAACACAGACAAATAAAATAGCAGTTATTTAAAAGATTCCCTGTGTTGGTGAAAGTTAGTTCATTTTCCAGATGGCTCACTCACTCTTGTGAAATTGCTGTATATTATATTTTTTGGAAGTAAAAGAAGCTGATTAATGCATAAAGTCTCATATCTTCGTTTTACTTGGTCCAGACAACATGCTAGTCATCCAACACAGTCCATCCAACGCCAAAAATGCTCATTCTATGATCAAGTTAGCAATAACAAATAAGCCTTTTGAACAACCGCCTCCTGGGTGAAAGTCCTGCGTCATCCATCCACCCCACCTCCTCTAAATTTACACCAATGCGGTGAAAGAAGTATATCAGTGGGTCTATGAAATGCTTTGGCACAACATATACAAGGACACCAGTGAAATTATACAGCCCATTCAGGAATAAGTTCATTCCAAGTAATTAATAATCCATAAATAAATAATAAAACAACAGGAGAACCAAATTTCAGAGCGATCCATCCTGTATTTGAGACATTTCACTACACAACACATAGTGAGCAGTTACCGTCAAGACACATTACTGTTAATGTGTGTTATTTCTAGTTTAAAGGTTAAGAGAGAGAGTCAGGGAGTGTAAAAGATCATTCACGATCTGAAAAATTCTCCCATTGCATTCTGAAATGTACATGAATGTACAATAGCGTGGGAATAAAGTCAGCAAATAGTAATACTCTGACAGAAAATGTATTTCTTTGCTCTCACTAGACTTTAAGAATTCAGTAGGAGATTCCTGTTTCATTAGCTTTTTCAGCCCAGTTGGATGGATAACCATGTTCGTAGAATCTTGTTTTCATTCTACCTGCCTTTTCACCAAAATCCTCTGTGGTTTGTCAAATCCCTCTCAGTCTAGAGAACTTATATTTGAAAAGTGCCTCTTCAGGAGTGTTGGGTATGAGCTAGTAGCTAAAATAAGGTTTATCTTACCCTCTAAAGAACTTAAGGCAAAGGAATGGCACATTTATAACCCACATGTACGTAAAAGGACCATCTCTATGCTTTATTACATGGAATATGCCAGATTACAGTTAAGGTTTGCATAGTTAGGTGTGTGTATCCTCCAGAGTAGTGATACTTTATAACTGCGAGGTCTCTTAACAGTGTGTATTACCATAAATCTTACCAAGCCAGTAATCAAGCTGTGTTATGATCACAACCATGGTGTTATGTTTCTTGGTATTTCAAAAGGTCCATGATATTTCTCTCTGTCTGTACAAATTGTTCTGTCTTTATCAGGTTTAATTACCAAATCATTATTTACCACAATCTGAGCCATTTTATCATTTTTAGAAAAGTTCTCATCACTACGAATGCCATGCTCCATTCCACTTATCTGTAGAACATGTTTACAGAAATATTTGACACATTATGACAGAACCTGATTTCATGTCTGAATGAAAAGGGTGAGGCATTTCTCAGTTTGAAGCACTTGAATAAGTTCAAAATCTAGTTCAAACACATCAGCATCTTGTATGGCAGCCTCTGTCATCAGTGAATGAATGGGTGTTTGAATTGGTGAATGTTGATATGTGTTGTAAAGCACTTTGAGTGGTTGTTAGAATAGAAAAGTGCTCTATAAATGCAGCCCATTTACCATCAGGCAACATTGGACAAATCCTCAAAAAGAAGTGACAATTGATCAACACACTTTAAAGCTGCTATAATCAATACTTTTACAGTAACAATTGATCTGTAATGTGATGTGTATCACCCAACTCTTCAGTTCATCTCAGCCCTACAGAGCGTTGTAGCATCTTTTAGCTCATTGTTGTCGTTTGGTTCAGCTGCAGCGGGCAGCAAAAAGTCTCTTACAAACCAACTGTGCTTTACCTGCCCAGCACCAAATGGCAGACTATCTAGTTAGCAGCTAGCTGATGAAAATATTGGAGGACTTAGCAGCTAGAGAGATACATATTTCTCTGAGGAGTTGTTGGAGATCAAAAAAGAGAGTTAAAAGGAGAGTGAATATTAATAATTACAGACATCAGTTGACCAGGAAGACGACTCCATATGCTAATGTTGCCCTGTCTGCTGGATGTGTAAATGAACCACTGTTTGCTAACACGTTAGCCATATCAGGTTATTATGGTGATAATGTGTTGCAGCTTGTTGTGCTGCCCCCAAGTGGCCAAAAAAAAATGTGAGTTTTCCAGAAATTTTACTGAAGTTCAGCACTGGCTGTGCCCTGGTGTTATTGAATGCTGGTGTGTTTTGAACAATAACAGAATTACTGCTTTTAATGCATTGCTGGTTATATTAGTAAAGTAAGTCTTGAAAATGGTGCCATAACAGTGGTGATATTAAAACACTGTGTGGCAAATCATAAGGCAGAGAAGCCAACATGATAAGATAAGATATCTTTATTAGACCTTTATTTGTCCCACAATGGGGAAATTCCAATGTTACAGCAACAAAG